AAGACGTCAACTCCCAGGTTGCAGCTCACTCGATGGGACCCGGACATATTTTCAAATTAAACGAGGCCAAAGTTCGCGCAAGAGGTGACAACCACGTGAGCCAAGAGCTGCTTGAGTCATGGCTCTCAGGCCCCGAGTCCATCAACAAGCGCAACAATTTGGCGTTTCCCTACTGCGTACTAAGAAATTGCCTGAGCAAGGGAATCAGTCAAGTGGAAAGGGCGGGGCTCAACAACAACAACTCGGACGACAACGAGCATAAGTGTCGTGCAATTACCAAGCCCGCATTCAACACGGACAAGGATATCGCGGCAATTAATGAGTCGAACGCGATGTGTCAAGCCATCACCGCACCAATTAAGACCCCCAGCGGTGACTACGGGAGGCAGACGGATAATTATAGTACGCACGCGAATGACCGCTACGAACTATAAATACCGTGCAAGCTGTGCGTGTTTCACCCTTATCTGCGCATGGCTCCAATTATCCTACCATTACCTAGGATTAAGGATTCCCGACGGAATACGAAACGTCAAGAAAATAAAATTCTTGTTCCAGTGGTCTTCTTCTCCTGAACTGCTTCCTGGAACTCCTATCTTCACTTCTACTGGCCAGGTGATAAATATTAAATCTCTAAATATTAAACTCGAAACTCCAAAGGAAGTTGCTTCAAGCTGATTGGTTAAAATCTGATTAAATTAAACAAAATTAAAACCCAGAACACGCTGGGAGGAGGGAGCATCACTAACGGAGAGAATCCTATTCCAACGGCACAAAAACATTGAAACGGGTGTCCGACTTGTAGCCGGTACGCAGACTGGAGGAATGTTAGGTTTATCCCCAAGTACATTTATAAATTACTTAATAGCCAGGTACTAGGACGGCGCAGAAGAAACAAGGCATGCGCAGTAGGGTTAGCGTGTGAACTCAAAAAGCAGGCTACACAAAAGAAATGACTGTAAATAACTCACGGTTTCCTTAGTGACTATTGGCTCCGGTCTAGCACCAGCCATGCCGAAGACACTCCAGATTTGAGGCCGGGGAGGACAGCAGTATTCGCAGATGAAGAGGAGAAACTGAAAAATTGAATGAATCAGAGATTTTGTAAAATGATCACGATAGACGGTGGTGCCAGTTCAAAAAAACAGATTACTAAGCCATTTCTTTTTCAAACAATCTTTATGAATCACGCGTTCCTGTTAATGTACAGTCATGTTAAGCGAGGTCCTCTTGAATTCTAGACAGTAGATTTATACAGCCAAGCTGCTAACAGCCAGATTTTAGGCTAAATAACTAGTTTGAATTCGATTTGTACGCCAAAAAATAGTGAGAGACGGGAGGGTTACCTCCAGAAGTCACCTGCCGGAAATGTAAAGGAAAAAGAGAGGGAAAGGGGCAGATGTGTCCGGACCCTATTCCATCGGGCCTATCGCTATTGCAACAACGACGAAAGAACTTACTTACCTGAAGTGCTTGTTCCAGTTTAACGCATATCCGATCAGTTTTGTAAAGAACTGTCTCAGGCGTCAAACACAATCGCAAGCTCCTGACCCTAACGCGGAAATTATATTCACTGTCTTACATGCAGGAAACTTCCAAAGTAATCGCAGGGCCGTGCAGTCGCACAAAAAGCAGCATCCTCATTACGCGCAGCGCTATCGCGTATAAAGGATTCCATTTCAAAGGAACAACAATCAAACGTGGTTTAGCGCATACCGTGCGCCGATTGCTCTTGCGTGTATTTTGGCCACACAGGTCGACCCCTTGGGCACCCAGATAAACATAAATTAGCTGGCCATCGCATGAACCGCCTCTCCCTCTTCTTTGCACACGCAATCGAAGGCGACCATCTATTTAATTGGGATGGCACTAAGGTCGTTGCCATGGCATACATAAAACAGACGCGAGAATTTCTCGAGGCTTGATATTGCAGTGCAGGTAGAATCAATCGCTACGCTGATTTGAACGCTGAATAAAATGGCCAACGTTCACGACATGCCGTCCCCCGTCCTAATCCTAATCAATAGCTGATGGAATTGAAAAAAGCTCTTTACCAAAAGAGCTATAGAGTTAGGCGATTTGGCCGACTCCCTTCGCTCTTGACTTGGTGTGTCCATTGTTGAGGTTTGTACACTATTTATCCTTTACTATTTTTGCTTAATAGTACCGTAATGCCTTGATAGTTGTTATCATTGGGTTTGACGTACTCGTGACTGCTGATACAGTCAGAGAAGCCAAGAGGACGAAACAGTGAGCATTGGTCACGGGGTCGAGTAGGCGGACTGAAAATCACTGTCACGAGCATGGAGTGAACAAATGTCACCAGGCTTTGGGAGCGATATGCGATCGCCATCTCACATGGGTCACGGAAGAGAGATTGCTTGTAATAGCATTTTCTGACAACGCAATGGCCAAACAGCCATCTAATCCAGTGCTGCGCTGTCAGAAGACGCTAATAAAGACACTCTTTCTTCCGTGGCCAACGTCAGATGGCAATCGCATGTGGCTCCAACGCCTGGTGACATTTGTTCACTCCGTGCTCGTGACAGTGATTTTTACTCCCTGTAATCGACCCGTTAAGCAGTTTGGCGGGGGAGGGATAGATATCTAGAGGGGCCCTACAAATCAATTTTGCCAAGTTTACTCAGTAAACCCTTCACTTTTTTTCGGAATTCTCAGTTTCTCCAAAAAAATTGGAGTTTCTAAACAACGCAATATTAGTTTCTTAACCGCAATATGCCTTCTTTTTAAGAAAAATCATTCCGTTACTTCTGTAAGATTTTCGAGACAACGTAGGTTGATGGTGTGCAACAGGAATTGTCATGCTTAATTCATGAGATTTCATAATATAGGCAATTGGCTGTAAATTTCTTCGAGTTGCTGGCAATAAACCTCGGCTGTGACGCTCTTATTAGCTCCAAGCTATTGTCCTGATGGCATACGTTTACCATAAAGGATCCACTTTTTGTCACATATCACTGTTCGATCAAGAAAGTGATCATTAGCGTTTCGAATACAGAGAGAAGGCGCGTAAAAAACTTCAAAACGCCGGACTTTTTGATTGTCTTTTGCGGAATCCATTAATCGAGCTTTTTTCTCTGGGCCATCTGCATCAGATTGTCGGACATTGTTGAAATACCGAAATAAAGGGTCTCAACAACATAATATGTTTTCTTCAACAATTGTCTTCAAAATTTCATTGGCCATCCCTTATTTTACTTACGGTCAAGGCTGTCGTTTCTAGTATGAAATTTTTGAAACCATATTTTTACTGGCAGACAATATTGCTGGCAAAGACAAAGGAGACTGGAATGGCCATTTCTGTTTCATTAACCGTCGTCAGCCAGTCATGCTCGGACCCAAGTGGCGTCCCACCTGAGCCTCGAACTGGCGACCTCATTGATAAGAGTCAAACGCCCTAACCATTGAGCCACGAGCTCGTTGTCTTGCCGGTTTATGTCGGGGGATGTTGACATTCGTTGATGAACGGCCAGCCGACCGCTAACAGAACTCATCTGTCCCGCTCTGCCTTTGCCAGCAATATTATATGGCTATACTACCAGCTGCTACGCATGTCAGGGCTTCTGTTGAGGTCCAAGGCAGAGCGGGAAAGATAAGTTCCGTTAAAATTCACCAACAAACATATTTGTACTGCTCGATCGGCCGTGGGCCCTCCTCCCCCTTATCAGTTAACATTGTCGGCTGTTTAGGAAGCATTATGACCGAACTTGAACTCATGCAAAGAAAGTAAATGCATTTATTCCTTTTTCCATCTGCGTTGTGACGGATTTGTATGATTTAAACTTGCACTCTCAGAGGAATCACAGAAAATTATTGCAGGGTACAAATAAATTAACAAGTATGTAAGCTTTTTTATAAAACACTAAAAAGTAACAATTGCTATCAATTAAAAAAACGAGTCCAGTATTTTCCGAACAAAATAATAGCATAAGACTCTTGTGGGAATGACCAGTGATATGAGGTAGCAGAAAAAAAACAGCAACTGGTCAGCAAAAAAGGATGCCTAGAGCAAGAACGTGTAAAAGTTCGCTGAACTTACCATACCAAAGCAAGCCCCTGATCCAAGAATCACCGTAGCAACGAGGAGGAGGGATAAGGCAGCCGGCATTCCCTTTGAAACCATATACTTATGGAATTTCTAGGACGGAGTACAGTAAAGCCAAATGGTTACGTGGATAAACCATAGCATTTCGAAGCTCCAAAGGTAAGGGTGTGTGTAGCTTAGAATACAATGTCCTAAATGATTTTTAATAATTTATTAAATTTTGGACTAAAACTGCACGAACATGTAAAAGGTAAAGGAAGCAGCACTTAATTAAGCCCCAAAAAGACTATTGAGCAGTTATACGGTATTGGTCAAACTCGTGAAACCACTTACCGTGACTGACATTCCAAGGTCAAGAACACGCACAACGGTCGGCATACTAGAAAGATGAAAAATGTTAGGGAAATGAAAAAGGCCAACTTACTAGAAGGCGTTCGGTGAATAGGGCCACGTCTCCGGCTCAATTAGTTCGTATGACTGGGTTTCCACAAAATGTTTGAATTCTTCGACCTTTCGTTTTCCCTTGACCAGGCGAAAAACCCCATCCTTGATGCTAAAAGGTACCAAGTGAAGGGTATGGAGAAGTTTGCAGAAGGAGCGATTAGAATAAAGCCATTGCTCTCCCTTTCAAGGGTGATAATGTATCCAACTTGATAAAACGAAGGCTTCGGTGTACGATTGAAAGGACTTACCCTGCCTCTAAATTGTTGTACATAAGCACAACAATGACTATTCCCAATAGAGGAGAATATAGAGTTCCAGGCAGCAGTTCCGAAGAAGAAGATGCGATCACTGGAACAAGGACTTAAAAGTCCTTGTTCCAGTGATCGCATCTTCTTCTTCGGAATGACTATTCCAGTTAGACCGACTAAAGACATTCTGCCCATGCACGCCACATCAAACTGTGTTGACGACATATTGTTGTCGTTCGGGATGCAAATATATCGGGCGCACGCAAAGGCAATTGGCGACGCGGTTAGCTGAACATATGCCGATTTCGTTGCTCAGGGCGGAAAATAAAATACCTATGAGTTCATTCACTAAGCACTTAGTGGACGCTGGCCATACGGTCGGCCAAAAGACTGCATTTAAAGTCGTACGTCGGGCGACGACCGGAGGATTCCT